AGTTTACCGATAAATTTGTCTCCAGCCTCTCTTTGACGAGCCAAAATTAGAGGTTTCCAACTGCTAAGTCCTAATGGCCCGGCCAGTAACGACAGTGACTCCGCTAACATTCTGGCTGAACAGTACTTTCGAACATTCCATCCGACCCACATTAACTATATTAGTGAAAGCTTCATCTGTAACTGCATAGGACTTTCCGAAGTGAATCTGAGCGCTGACTTGGTCTACCGGAAAAGACACTTCTCCTGGTCCGGACATGGTTCATTCTGCTATACTGAGAGAAGCAGCTTCATTCCTGGCAACACCGCTTAGCGTGATGTTCTTACACTCGCTGAGCCAAGGCAAACTACCGGAAATTTGGAAGCTGGCTCATATCACACAAAGGGGAAATCTAATGTCATTTACCTTGACTTCTCAAAAGCTCTTGATAGGATCGACCATATATGTCTTTTCAATAAGCTCAAACGATTGGGTATCAAATCACCTCTAATTGGTTAGTCCACTTCATATCTAAAAAATCGACATTTTAAGGTCAGGGTTAAATTCACTTTCTCTCAGGCTATGGAACATCTTAGGGGGTTTGCCAGGGTTCAGAAATAGGACCTCTTTTCTTGATTTGTATAAACGATCTTCCACAACAGGTATCGTCTGGCTCATTACGTGTTACTGATGATGTGAAACGTTGGAGAGAGATACACAATCAAGAGGATATACTGGCACTTCAGGAGGATCTGGCTCGACTTCAAAGTTAAGCAGACGACAACGGACTTGCCTTTAACACTTCAAAGTGTAAAGTAGACCATCTGAAACATGTTGCAGACTACAGTTAAAACTTGGGCAACTCCTCTCTAGAAGTATCCCAAGTTGAAAGATATTCAGGAGTGCTGGTGCCGTATAATTTAAAGTCTTATTCTAAATGTGACAAAAATGCCTTTCTGGCAAACCTTGCACCGGTAACATTGAGGCGCATTTTCGACCAGTTTAACGGAAGGACTTTGAACATAATCGTCGGCAGTTTTATTCGTTCCCATTTAGAGTACGAAAATATAGTATTTCCTCCTCATTCCGAAAGCATAAGGACACACTGGGACGCATCCAACGGCGAGCCACGAAATCAGTTCTGGGACTCAAATTCAAGCCTTATGAAGAGCACCTCTAATCCCTAAATCTTTACTGATTAGAGTATAAGCGTTTTAGAGGTGACCTTCTAATGACTTACAGCATCCTCAACACTTCTGAACATCCCCTTAAACACTTACTTAAGTTTAGCTCCACCACAAACCTAAGGGGTAACACTCAGAGACTGAAGCTACAACACAGTAGAACAGATTGTAAACGAAACTTTCGTTTTGGAATTCATGATGGAATTTACCGCCAGCTGAACTAATCCAAGAGACTTCTCAGTAGTCCTTTAAGAGGAAACTTGACCTATTCTTAAGGACTAAGGATAATGTGTTACTATGATTGACCAATTTCTTTTTCCTCTACTATCGTTAATATACCTGGGTTTCTGCCTGTAAGTATTGATGATCCATTGCTACTAGACACGGAAGCCCGTTAAGTGAAAGCTTCTTCTATTCTGTCCATAACCGTTTGAGCGATGCTAGACTGACCCTGAAAGTGTCCACTTAATAACCAGGACCAAATGAGGGTTATAAACCTGTGTGAGGAATTATAATTATAATTTGCAGTTGATGACTAAGGTTAGGAATTAGATTTCGAGTTTTCATCACGAGCTGACATAAGCTATAATGCCAAAACTGTATTTATCTAAATGGATGAGTGAATTTCGCCCCAAAATGCAGGATCAGTTATCTTATACGTGTTTGGTCCGTCCATAAATTATATTCTCGCCGAGTTTACTTTGAAAGTAATTGTACCAATGAGTTTTCCTCATAATGTCTTATTTGAAGGATAACTTATCAAAAAATAATGTCATTATGCTTAAGCAACTGACAAGAAGACATCGAGTAATAAAATAAGGGGTAAATTAGAGAGAAACACTCGGAGGCGTCTGCTTTTACACCTGTTTTGGTGAGTTTCTCTTCTTGTTGCTGTTTAAGAATATCGCTGAACAGTCTACTTTCGCCGTTTTTAATATACTCTTGATTTTACATTTGATTGTCCATCGTTTGTCCGACTAAAAATGTCCCATATGTTCGCCTTTATTTCCATAGCAAAACAACACTACGACTGTAGTGGGTTATGTTAAAAAGTGGCACATGTTTAAATACATTTATTGAAAGGAAAAAACATCAAACGGCACAATAATATTAGTAACAGACCAATGTTTGAGCAACGATTGTTAGGTATTTTCTTAGTAAGTGTCATGACCTATTGTAATTAACAGAGATCTGCAAAAGAAATTACAGGTTTTGGATTATTAATTAGGAATGTGTCGTAAATGATAAGTGCATATGAAATCAGACAGGCTTTTACAACATTCACTTAGAGGGTTTTACAAGCAAGTTGGAAATGCAGCTCATTGTAAGAAAAAACTTTACTAAAAATTAGGTTAAACATAAAAAGCATCACAATAGTAACACCTTCGTTAAACTGCAGTTTAACTATTACAAATCAAAGTGAGCTTGTGAACTCTGAAATTTAATGATCACAAAAATTACAACTCCATCTAACTGCCATAGTTTGTTAAACAGCTGTCTACGTGAAGTGTTATTTACGGTTATTTTCATTAATACTGAACACTGCACCTTCAGAACGGCAGTGAATAGTTATAACTTTTAATAAGCACATACAAGCTTTTGTTTTTTATATGACGCTTCTGTTTTATGTTTCTTTTGTCGTGAAAACACGCTTGTGTGGCGATTTCACAAACTTTAGCAAGGTTTTTCTTGTTGGTGGATGAAGACAAGAACCAAGATGTTAAAGCGCCTAAAGCTTAGAAAAAAACGTCTTACTTCGTATGCTTCTAAGATGCTCTTTTAGATAAAGTGCCAAGTTGTGTGAAATGGCTGGCAACTTCAGGTATCATGACCTATGACAAAATAAAGAGCACGAATGTTTTAGGATTGTCATCCACTAACTACGTCAGAGTGGCCTTCTGGATAAGGAACAGTTAATCCAGTGAATTTTATTGACTTACAAGTTTGTTCATTATGTCTTCTCGCTGGATATATGCGTCCAGTGTTATCAGTTTCTCTCCAAATGACAAAAAGGACGGCAAACTCGGTAGTCCAATATCAAATTATCGTGAATGTTCATGCTGTCCAGACTACGACATTAACTGCATAATGTTCTGACTCAAGTATGATATAACTGATGATATGTTCTGTAGTACTTCATGCATTTTATAAAATCTTGAGCATTTACCTCAATCGGTCACGTGGCTTACTAAGCCACTAACGCACTGGCCACATGACTAGACACGGACGTGGAGGGCGGCGCATCCACGTGTGCTGAACTAGATTATTAACATTTTTAAAGAAAACACTCCTACTTGGGAATTGGTGGGACAAAAGTGTCCAGCAACCGAAATTTAGGCTATTGAACCAAACTGTTTCCAGCTTGCATTTCGGCCACATCGATGTCAAAGGAATTGTGTAGAAGCCCTTCTTTCTGTTTCAATGCACTTCTACGAAATATTAAGATTACTGTACTGACTCGTTTTCGTTGAGTGACAAGGTGTCTTCGTCCGCAGAACTGCTGACACGGCAAACAGTAAATTTGTTGAACAAAACCAGCAAATCCTTTCCAGTCTAAAGTCCATCTATAGGAAATGGTTGTTTTTTATGTTCGTGGCTCACCGCAGTCGTAAATGACCTTTTAGTTCAGGACCGACCAATGTCACTAGAAGGGAATATTCATTAAAGTAATCACATATGTTTGTGAAAGGTCTAAATCTCATTAATCCGTTTTTCCCTACATCCGTTACAATGTCAGGTCTTCCGTGCACTAGCATAACATTATTCGGCTTAAATAAAGCTATTTTAGTATTCTTAAGCATATTTAATTGTCTCCCTGGGTCAAACTTAGTGATTGTTCGTAGCCAATATGCTAGCTTAAAGCCTACCGCGGAAAGATTTTTCCACATAACTCTGAGATGCTTGTCTGGCTACAGCGTACTCACTATGCACTGATTTCTTAATCTGCATCATATAAGACTCGAATTGGAGGGGAGGGGAAAGAATCTAGAACTCCATTTGGACGAACGTCATCGGGAAGGTTCTACAAATGCACATTACATACTAAAATTTCGGATTCATAACACCACTCATAATCTTTAGAAAAATTAAGTTAATCATTTCTGACCAATTCTGTTGCGCTGCTTGGTAAGTCCGGAACAAGATCTCGAAACGCATTCAGAATGTTGATCAGTATCTTTGATGTTCTGACAGCCGTTTGTTATCAAATTCATCAATGCTATTTTGATCTGTTCTTTCCGGTTTATGGACTTCTGTGAAATGGATTAACGAATTTACTTTCTTCACACTATAATCATCAAAAGGTCTTTCATTTTTATGGCCACTGAATGCTATCACAGTTAATAGTTTCTAATAATAATCAATTTCAGTGTTGACTGTTATTATTGCAACATAAATCATTGATAAAGTTAATTACCGTTGATTGCGCTTTCATTATCAAGTTGACCAAACGAAAGCAAGTAATTTTTTTCATGAAAGTCGTTTACATTTTATTCAGCCTTCTTCTATATATCCATCTGTGACAACCGAGGTTCAGTGTTGGCCAACGTCTACGAACACTTTCACTGACTTCATCTTATAGAGCAAACGAGGAAATTAGTGACAATAAACATTATTTTATTTTAACACATAAAGATTGGTACAAGAAGGCACCGAATAGATATGTGCCACATAAATCATTCGATTTGTGTGAGGGCTGGGATACCACCCGGGTGGCCAAACCGAAGCAGGGACAATAAATATAAGTACATAGAGCACACCACTTACTTGTATAACGCAAGCTATTTGTGATTTCCACTAGGCATGTCGGAATACAACAAAGTTTGGACATATGCATCTCAGGAAATGTCCTGAGTCCACATATTTAGACATGTATATTTAATATATTTTTTCTCTTTTGTTATCAACTAAGGTTTCGAGAATCGATCTATTATGAGACTTTTTGTTTACTTAGAATAAAAGAAGGGTACTCCGTGAAGCTCTTTGTTTCGTTCAATTTGATAGTCGAGAAACAATCTTTACAACTCGAGGATATTTGTCTGTTACTAGTATTCATTGCCCTTATATGTTGATACCATGGAGTTATTAATGCTGAGATAAATAAAGAGTTCTAGGTAAGGATGGCAAATTGAATAGTGAAATAATGGATATTTATCAACCGAGGTGGTTGTAATGTGTATTTCGTATGCCTATTATCCGCACAAGTTGACGCGCTGTAATGGCTGGTGTAATAGTGGTTCGGAGGAAAGTTATGGTTGATCGAATAAAAAATGTCAGACTACTCTCTGGGGGCACCAAATATTGAACTGATCGAAACAAAAAACTGTGGGCTACCTGGTTGAGGTCTGATTTACTATAGTAGTTAATAGATGAAAACTTTAGTGAAGTGGCTCAGATGGATTCACTCTTTCACTTCCCTTAGATCTTAGGTCTCTAAACTGCCTAGAAACTTCTGTTGAATCAATCCATATTTCCTTCTCAAATTGTATCTGTGATACCTAATCTTTTCTACTGTCGATAATGTTATTACTATCTGTACTACTCTAGAATTTATTCAGACAATTTCATCTTGCTGTGCTAATGGGATGTGGTAACTTCAATCAATGTACACATATGCCAGGTTTCACAATGCGTGTAACTAACTGTCCATGAGAAATAATTAAGCTGAAGTCCTAATTGTATGTTGACATTTCTTCACAATGATATCCACATGCATGTTTTTCTTTTCCTGGCTTTTTAAATGTATGTTTATGCATTCCGGCGTTTATGTTTTACCAAGGTTTTAGTGCAGCAATCAGTGTTTCGAAAATCAATAGGTTATTCGTCAAACTCTTTAGTTATGATGAGAATATTTTTTTTGTAATGTACTACTTTGTATAAAAAATACAGAATACATTGCGAATAGGTCATGTAGCGGTGATAAATAATAAATATTACGTGAAATGCAATTAAAAATATGAATCGGAGGTGTCTATTTTAAAATATGGAATAAGACAAAACATGTTCCATAAAGTGCACTGCCAGTTGTCACAGAAAGATTTCAGAAAACGAAACTGCTGTGTTATTAAAAGCAACCTCGTATTTTCACAAAAATTGTAGTTTCGGTTATTATGTTAAGCCCATATACCTTATTCTAGCTTTCGAACACGCCAATCTATTCATTCTAATTGAGTCACATTTTGACTTTGTTAGTTATTCGCTTATCAATCTTCACTGTTTTTATATGAGCGCATATGTGAGTGCCCTTCTTATCCCATTCGTCACGTGTCTGTAGCACAATTTTGTGTGACTATAAGAATATACGAGGACTGACAATATGTGTATCTCAACAGCGATCGGAAACAATCCAACTCGAATCAGATCCCGGGTTACTAAAAAATATTCAACCACAGAAGCCTGGTTGAAAACTACGTATTTTAAACACACATATACGTGAGAAAAATCCGTTTGTGTAATCGACGTTAACTACATTTTCATCTTGATATTCTTCTTTCATGATTACTAGATATTTGAACTTAAATGAGCGTTCAAACCAACCTAAAAGATGTTGGTTGGATGTGTCATGTTATTCCATTGAGGAAAAATAAAGTGCAACAGTTATCTCCCCCGATTTCGCAAATTCCAAGTATTGGTTTTATGCCTGAAGAATCCATCCACGACAAAAAGCATACAATGTATCTCAAGTCGACTGACTCACCTTATGTACGATTATCTAAAATGGGTGGTAAGCGGGATCTACTATGTTTTAGAGAAAACGAATACAAATCTGGAGCACCCGTTCCTTATTCTCGATGCGAATGGTATTACTTGGAGGATAATGCTCTGGAACTCAAGCAAAATATCAAACCCGAATCCACAAAATATGTGTTTAAAGTACCATTCTACATGTCAGATAGCTCGGTAAATCAAATAGAGAAGAGCAAGACTACAGAAACAGTTGTTGATCCTGTACAACCTTCTGTAGTCACCAAAGAAAGTCAAAATGTATTGAAAACTGCTGCCACATAAATTCGGTTACGCAGATTACAGCGGAAAGCTAAGAACATTACGAAATCGGGAATTATTATTCCTTGAACATATCTTGTTAACTTACGATGATTATTGTAGATTATATAGTAAATTTTGGTTTATGGTTTGAATCAGTGGGTGATATGCCCACAATTTCTGTTTCTCATTAGTTGAAATTTTCAGTGTGGCATGTATACAACCTTGTCGAAACATACTGACTCGGCTAACGAAAATTTGTGACGTGTAGGTCTACTGTTTCGATATTTGCAAGCTTTGAAATGAAGGAATGAAAACCAGCGGAACGTAATGGAGAATTCTAAACTTAGAATCACAGAAACACTTCTCTTGGTTTTAATAATAAACGAGCGCAAAACTTTCTAATTGAGTCCTGAAGCGTATATATGGTAATGTTGAAAGGTGCTGAGTAATAAACATGAATGAAACAGAAAAAAAGAAGTGGTAGGTGACAGCGAGATTAATGGGTCAGCTATTAGTAATACAGGTGAAAAAGGGTAGATAAATATCGTCATTCTAAGGGTCAGTCACGCTTCCGTTGATGGCTGCCAATCAACAACTGAATTTGGAAGTTGACATCAGACTTTAGATTGCAGTAAAGACATAATAGCTGTAACGAACATGGGAAGAGGAAGATCGGTCAACATTTGTGCGTTAGATCAACCAAAGTATTAGCGATTATCTCGTTGTAAGACGTATTCTATTTGTCTGGTCACCTTATTCTGCAAAAATAAAAGGAAAACTCTTGTAATAACTACAGAGGAGTCAACTTTTATTACATTGTTTTTGGGTTTCAGAGTTCTTAATCATCTGACAATTAACTGAAGTTTTGAGGTAACATGGGTAAAGCCTCATGTTTTGACTTTAATACATAGTAAGATAGACATATTTTACAGATGTTTGGTTATAACATTATTTGTTGTGTCGGTGGTGTTGTTCTGTCATTTACATATAATCTGCTTTCTTTCTGTGTAAAAACTAACAAGAATAAAGTATCCTAGAAACTTTTGAGTTTTGTTCTCTGAGCTGGACGGTTTGGTCGTGGAGCTTTCATCGTTATTCTGAACAACATCATCAGCACAAGTGTTCGAATTTCCCCACATATGGTTCACAGCTTGTCCTGTAGACCTCGATGTTTATTGGTTCTTTTTGAGCTTAAATCTGTCATTATTTACTTCTTTGTTTTGGTTGTATCTCCCATTGGTTTGATTTTTGGTCCTATGTTTGTCCATAATTTTCCTGATTGGTTGGTAAGTTGGGTCGCTTTCAATGTACTTGTTGATTGCTTTAAAATTGCGCCTTCAACACTCTGTTGTCATGTTATTTGATTCTAGTAAATTTGAACATGAAAAAATTAATTGCATATAAACTGGATCATTCTTAATACACGTTTCCAGAATAATCTCTGGATACTGATTTCAGAACGATCATGCTATCACGCGATGTTTTTTATGATGTTTATTTTTAGTCGATTGTGCTGATCGAAATTGGCAGTTGTTGCTGTGACTATACGTTTAATTGTTAAAGTCAAAGTTGGTTGTCGTACACTTATTTTCTTTTTAGTAGTCTTTAGATTGTTACCACACTTTCATTACTGTTATTTTTGGTTCATAGGAATATTAAGCTTTTTCAAAACCATACCTAAGTTTTGAGGTTTTAGATAGTAAAATTTACTCAGTAAAAATATTCTGATTATAGTTTCTTCTATGTAATGAGATAAAAAAATAAGATCATTGTTTTCCAGAAAGTGATATTAGATTGTGCTGAAGATAAAAAGTCGCAAATGACCTAATTGGTTTTGCTCACCTAGTTTATACTGGACATTGTTTTTCGATCATGAGTTATGTTATGTCATGAACCTTTTGGTTTATAATTGAAACTAATTCAAAATGGACGTAATGATCATTTGATTGGATCTAAAGCATTTATTGTATCAGTAAGCCAATTGCTTTGTCAAAATGGAATGACTTTAGTGTACTCTTTGATCTGATTAAACACTTTCAAATAAGATTGCGTGATTACCTAGTATTTATAGCTATTTGCAAAGTGGATTTTCAGATTTGAGTTAATAAGATTTAGTATCCAACAATGAATAAAGAACTTGTGTTTTTGGAATTTCAAAAATCAGTGGTTTGTAGCTGTAGAATACAAGACGTAAAAGTGTTTACAGTGGCGCGAACTCTGTTATTCTCTATTTCTTTCTTAAATATTACCTCATTTGGTTATGCATACCTACTTGTTACAAGCGATCTATATCCTTATCCCTATCCATTTCGCTGCATTGCTGGTGTTATCGATTTTAATCTGTCAAATATTTATTAACTTTCTGTGTCAATAAATAGTAAATAGCAGGAATGACGGTATTTTGTTTTATGATCGTTTAGCTTATACTGTACTTATTGAGTCATAGGAAATGTGACATAGATGACCGAACCTATGGTTTTTAAACGATTCTTACAATTGACGCGTTTGTCATGGCGCTTAGCCGTGTGTGGATGTTAAGGATCCTGTTTATCTTGAAAGAATTCGGGATACCTACCGTTGATGAATCACATAAATGGTAATAAGGTTATTCAGATTAAAACAAAATGAGGTAATATGATGAATAATATACATAAGTGTGTTGATTAGACATAAGTGCTGTATGCTGTGTCTCCGAAACACGCATACAGGATTCCAGTGTGGTCATTCACTTGACCTCACCTCGGCAAAACGGAGAGCCAACGAGATACACCCTACGTGTATCTGGTGACTCGATGGCCAGTTCTCGTGGACTGGCAGGTGTAGGCATAGCACTAAGCATGAGGGCGGAATAAGCACTGCTAGAGTGGATCCCCGTCAACAGTCGTCTATGTGCTGTTCGGCTAAACGGCTCCGTAAGAACTCGGAAGGATAGGGACACACGTCGTTGCCTTTTCGTCGTTTCTGCCTACGCTCCCACTGACTGCAGCTCAGATGATGTGAAAGATGAATTTTACAGAAAGCTTTCTGAACTTCTTCAGAAAGCTAAAGACTCAGACATTGTACTCGTAGCAGGTGACTTTAATGCTCAGATAGGTAGCTTAAACCAAACAGAAAGGCATTTAGGTGGATATTTTAGCATTCCGACACAGCGAACAGATGATGGTGACCGTCTGCTGCAACTGTGTTCAGACAATCGTTTATTTTTAGGAAACACAAATTTTAAGCATAAGGAAAGACATCGTCTAACGTGGCGACCGCCTGCACCAAACCAATGATGGACTCAAATAGACCATATTGCCATCAGTCATCGTTGGAGAGGGTCGGTAGAAGATTGTCGCTCATTCTGGAGTACCTGCTTGGGCTCCGACCACGCCCTAATACGGGCACGCATCTGCTTGCGCCTCACTGGACGCAAAAAAGCCACACTAAAAAGACCCATTAGAACCGAACTGAGTAGCGAGGAAACCAAAAGTAGGTTCCAGGAACAACTGAGGTCACGATTAGGTAGTTGTGAAGACGAGACTGACCCAGAGGTTGCTTAGAATGAAATACAAGCAGCTGTGGAAGCAGCAGTGACATCTATTAGCGACTTAAACCACAGTTTCAAAGAACCAGTGGAATTCTTCAAAGTCTATCACACTGATGGATTCTCGCAAACTCGTCTCATCAGGTTCTGAACATGATAAAGAGCGACAACAAATCAGATCTAGGTTAAGAAAAAGTCTAAGAAACGATCGTGAGCAGTGGTGGGAAATGAAAGCAAAAGAGATGGAAAAGGTGGCGACTATAGGGAACACAAGACAGCTTTACAGACTAATGAAAGAAACTGGAATTAATAAGTCAAGTGTAAGTCGGACTATTTCGGAAAAAGACGACACCCTCATCTGCTCCCAGTCCAGGCGTTTAGAACGATGGGCGGAACATTTCAGAGAACAGTTCAGCTGGCCTTCAGCTACTCTACAACTACCCTCCATTCCCAGACAGTGTGAATGGAACATTGAAATAGGTCCCCCAACTCTTGCTGAAGTTCAAAAGGCTATAGTTAATCTGAAACGAGGAAGGGCAGCTGGTCCAGATGGACTGGCTCCAGAGGTCTTTAAGGATGGTGGTCCAATTTTAGCGATTAGGTTGACTAATATTTTATCTAAAATCTGGGAGTTAGACGTTATTCCATCTAACTGGTCACAATCACTTATCGTCCCAATATATAAGAAAGGGTCAAAAACATCCTGTGACAACCACAGAGGGATTAGTTTAACTAATATAATATCTAAAATACTTCGATAATTATCAGACGCCTAACTAAGACTCGTGAACTGCAAACACGAGAGACTTGTAGTGGCTGTGCTTCGATAATTAATCACCCTCGAACCGTTATCGTATAATCTTCAACGATGTTTGAAATCAGAAGGCAAAAAGAAGCAGCTACTACAGTTTATTTAGTAGATAATTCGGACCAGACAGCAGAGAGGCAAAATGAATGAGCAAGCGAACTACGATTGTAGCAGTAGCAAGTAGTTGTAGTAGTAGTAGTAGTAGTTGTTGTGAATGGGTGAAAATGTACACATATATATATGTATAGGAAAATGGATGAGTCAGCAAATAGACTAAGCAGTTAATAATGAAGCTAGCAGAATGAATACATGCGTAGGCGCTAAACAATGTTCAAGCATATGTATTTCATACAAGCGTAATAATAAAGATAGTACAACAAGTTGTTATATCATGGATGACTTTGTCCATTAAATAGGTCAACAAAAGGCCTTGACTGAACTAAACTCAATTGCACGTGAGTCACTATAATAGCTCCCCCCTGCAAACAAAGATATATGGAAAAATGTCTGTGTTTGCACAAAAAATTACTAAACTGAGTAAGGTAGTTACAATCGTTTGAAAAAAAATAGTTTGTACAAAATTAAGATGAAGTTGGTGTGTGCTGTACATTTGGTTTGCGCCTGTCCGTGAGGTTATAAAAAATAATAGCAATAAATAGAAGGAATGCGGTATTGCTTTACATTTTAAATAAAAATTATACGTTTAAGTGTAGGGGTACATAGGATATGTTGAGTTTTATAGCGTAAAACATGAAATTAGTAATGCATGTGTGTACAATGAAGTGGAAGTTATAATTAATATTTAAAATAGTAGAAGA